AGGTAGAGCAATATAAATATTATCAGAATTCCTCATGAGGATGTCTCTAGAGTGAAGCAAGGATAGATGGTACTGTGGTTCAGCTGCCTGCCCACCAACATGCAGAAAAACTGCAAGTACAGTGCCAGAAACCATGAAAAGAGGTAACTTGATCAAAATAGAACTTTAATACTTTAAAGTAAACTTGCCACTTGATCGAAAATGTCAAATCTACTCCACCACCCTGTGCAAGTCACACTTTGGCTCCTATATTCACTTTTACTCCTGCTCTACTGCAAGCTCATTATCAATTCAGTTGAATACATTACGGCACACACCCCGGCCCCTATATGACTGCACTGGCCACTTTCTGCATTGTGGGAGGAGTTTAATGTGTTAACTACTCCCCCATACCAGGAAGTACAGGGCTTTTTGCAGACCACCAGTAGGGACCAGCAGTAAACGTTCATGGGCTCTGGGGTGTCTAGTCACTTCACAGATGAAGTAACAAGTACTGATTGTTTTATATGCCTCAGTCATTGACAGGGCCGTTGAATGGGGACAATAGGGTTTTAAATTGAGAAAAAAAAGAAGACCCTGAAAAGCAACCAACACACCAGAACAGCTAACTCACTTAGGCTTCAGGTAGAGCACAGCTTCCTCTCCTTTCTCCATCTGTTGCAGTGCAGTCTCCACTCCTGGGGGGATCCCAAGACTCTCTCCCTCCCCAACTTCAAACTGCAACTCCCGTTCGTCAAACACGCGCCCGTCGTGGAATCCTTGCAGCTTCACTGCATGATAATGATGGAGAAACAGGTTATCCTATGGCCCTCAACCAAACCAGAATTGCTATAGAAACATCCCATATGCCTATCAGGGTTACTCACAAGAGGGTGAAGATTCTGGAGAAGGCAGGAGAAGTGAACAAACTAGGCAATAATTTGTAAAAATTCTCCAATTCAGCTCACTTTCCAGTTCAGCTAAGTTCTGTCCTAGATTGTTCACTTCTCCTGTCTTCTCCAAACTCTTCACCCTTTTGTGAATAACCCTGTGTGAATGAAAAAAAAGCATCTCCAACGTAGACTGATCTTTCAGATCCATTTGGGCAATAGTGAGTGAAGTCCCCTGCTTTTTCTTATATTCTTAGGGACACTACTGATAGAATTGCTCACAGTAGTTCATGTCTCCATCCTTTCTCACAAAGTCCTAATAAAAGGTGTCCCCCTCCGAGCTTAAATCGTGATTATTTGTTTATTCTTCAGGATGGAAAATCCAATTGAAAAAAACGGATATAAAACTTTTGGGTGGAATTTGTCCTGCAGAGATATAGCGGGCAATGGCAGGAACCACATAGCACATTCGGGACACGCTATCCTACACACTGGCAGTGTCAGCTGGAAGATTTGATTTGCTGCCTGCCAGACACATAAGTATTCATCTTCTTATTTCTAAGAACTTATAGGACAGCTCAACAAGGGTTCCTCCAAAGGTCGCTAGTATTTTCTCGAAAAGTGTTATATTCAGCTACAATGACCACCCATGTTAGGAAGTCATCTTCCACTGACATTACATGTAAGGGGTCACTTCTTCAATAACCGGCAAATGTAAAGGGGCTTTTTCCCCAGTCACCACAAATGTAAGGGGGCACTATACTGTCCACCAATGTAAGGTTGCATTTGTGCACTCTCTACAAATGGACGGGGAAACTTCTCCACTGATCACTAGCGTAAGGGGACAGCCTGCGTTTCTTTTTTTTGGCAATTAAAATTATTTATTTTATATGAAGATTATATAAATCTTATAGAGCAGGGGGTGTTTTAAAAACGATCCGCTTAGGGTGTCAAATATGCTAGTTATGCCACATAGGTTTTTTTAAAAATTAAAAACTTACTGTTCTTGCTAGTGTACTGTGAACTGCAGATGTAATCATTTTTTAGCAGGGGTCCCCCACCCCAACCCATGAGACCAAAAAATGATTTAAAGGGTTCATTTAGGGTAAGAAAGTTGAAAAAGGCTGATGTAGGGTGTCATTTTTTCCCCAGTGACCACTAATGTAAGGTGAGATTAAAATTTTTTATTATTTGTTTGATTTTAGTTTCATGATCATATAAAGCATAGTTTTTGTGATTAAATATACAATTTATTGATCATGCTAAATAAAGGTAAAATTAGTTTTAAAGTAGGGGTTCGCTGAGACCTAAAAATCAAGGGTCCCCTCTGGGGTGAAAAGTTTGAGTAAGCTTGTTATGGGGGCTGAAACCAAGGAAGGGGGGGGGTGTATAATAGGAAACTTTTGCATGGTACAAACATGAGAATCCCCCTTAGCAGGATTACCCATCACTTACACTCCACCACGGCACCCTCGTTGGGTTTGGAATATCCCTCGCCCTTCACTCGGATTCTGCGAATAATGCCGCCATCTTCTTCTGATGACAGATCTTCACCTTGGAAGTCAAATAGCTCAATCTGAAGGCAAACAATACAGAATTTGAATATGAAAACTCACAAAAACTTGACTGACAGAAAAACCTAAGATGTCTCTCTTACCTCAAAGATGAGCGTAGCATTTGGTGGAATCTTGGGCGGACTCCCTGATGCTCCATAAGCGTATTCGGGTTTACATGTAACCTGACAGATCTCTCCAACTTTCATGGTGGCCACAGCGATGTCCCACGCTTGAATCACCTGACCTATAAAAAGGAAACGTGTGTCGCCATTAGGTTTCTTCTTCCCCTGAACTGGACCTCTCTCTTCAGGAGAGCCCTCAACCTAGTACTCAGTGGTCGGCTTCGGCTGACCCAGAGGAATGGGCCTCCCTGGCTTCAGCTAGGTGGACATGAGTGCTCTGCCCCTGTCAGCAGCCTTGCTCCCCAAGAAGGGGGGAGGGGCAGCAGTGATAATAGTCCTGTCTCTTTGGGAGGTGGACCATTGAGACACATCCAAGTGAACTTTTTTGTGTGTGTTCACATGCACTTTTTTTGTGCACTGCGGGGTTTAGTTTTTGCGCAACCACTGCGGGTTTCAAAATAAATAAATACCGTGTTTGTCGGCGTATAAGGCGACTGGGCGTATGAGACAATCCCCTAATGTTTCAGTTAAAGGAGAACTATGGGGTTAAGACTTTTCCCCATAGTTCTCCTTAGGGTAACGGGAGGACGCTAGTTTGTCACCCTAAGCTCAGTATACCGCGAGCTACAGCTCGCGGTATACTGAGACGCCACAGTACACCGCGAGTTACTGCTCGCGGTATACTGGGACGCCACAGCTGAAGCGGATCCTGACAATTGAGGCTGGATCCGCCCAGCTGTGTGAGTGACAGCTGGCTCTGCCTAACTAGAGGCAGAGCCAGCTGTACCCGCCCCCTCCCCCGTCCGATCCGCCAGTCAGTGCTGGCGGATGGGAGCGGGGAGGGGGGAATCGAGCCGGCAGAAAGCTGTGACTGGATCGAGAGATGAGCGAACGCCGGTATGTGTTCGCTCACTTCTCGATCTACTGAGCCGACCTGTGACAGTCTCATTGTCACAGGTCGGCTAGAACTATGAGAGGAGTGAAAAGCACTCGCCTCATAGTTCTCCTTTAAAAACATAGGTTTTGGGCTAAGACTACCCCCCTTCCGAGGCAACATCATTTAAAAACATCAACATGGGCCATTTTTTTTAAATACACCCACTAATCTGTCAGCCCGCTGGATGTGCGGTAATACCAGAGTCATATATTGTGCAGTGATGACTTCAGCAAGAATCCTCTGCAATGCTACACACTGAACACACTTCCGCTACATACAGTATACCGCGCTGAGCCAATCACTGAAAGCGATGTACGCGGTATACTGAATGTAGCTTCCGCTACATACAGTATACCCCGTTGAGCCAATCACGGCGAGCAATGTATTCTATTAATGAATACAAAGCCTGCTTGGATTGGCAGAGGTTGTGTACATCGCTCGCCGTGATTGGCTCAGCGCGGTATACTGTATGTAGCCGAAGCTACCGTACATACAGTATTACCGCACATCCAGCAGGCTGACAGATTAGGGACGTTTTGTATACCCGGCGTATAAGACGACCCCCGATTTTCGGGGGATGTTTTGAAGTATAAAAAGTGGTCTTATACGTCGGCAAATATGGTGCATGCATAAAAAAAGTTCAGAGATGAAGAGCTATAACATGTGCAACTCCCTCAAAAAATTGATGTGCAAATTACAGCTTTCACAAAGTTGAAACTTCTTAGAAGCTGTGCACAATCCTCCACATGAGGGCATGAATCCAGGCAGACTGTATTTGAATGAAGACTACCTAAGGAAATGCCCACACAGAGCCAGCTTGTTCTTAGGCCGGTCCTTCCAACGTATCTTCCCCTCCGATGCAGTGGTCTAAGGTCCTTGAGCCATCAGTGTACCCGGCGTAAGAATGCTGAGGGACATATCTTGCTGCAGTGTAGGAGAAGAGAACCTGGAGGGAGCGTTGTGACAGCTAGCTGGATCCGAGGTTCCGTGAGTATTACTTTGTTATTTTAATCCTTTGACAAAAACAAGCAGTTAACCCTTGCAGTGTGGAGTTGCCCCGCTGCAAGGGTTAATCCACTGCCCCTGTGGACGCTGACGCTGCACATCTTCTCAGACTTCCGCTGCTAGATGATTTGACATCCCATTGTTTTCTACATGCCTTTTTACTACCGACTTCTTGTAAGTACAATACAGTTGTGCGTTTTTATCATTAAAATTCGTTTTACACTATGGAGGCGCTCCTTTTTGTTTTTTGTCTCTCAGATTGAAGGTCCTTTGACCTGTGGGAGCTGCCTCTTCAGTGTGTTCGTTACCACTTCAACTGGCCGATATTGCACGTGGAGGCACCGGTATTGTTTCCTGTCACTTGTTATGAAACATTTATTATCACCCCAATTTTTGGTAAAATATAAAAGACGGGGTCACGTCGGGTAAATAGACCCCAAACATGTCAAGCTTTAAAATTGCGCGCGCCCGCGAAATTGCATAAAAACGACCACACCCAAAATTGGCCATAGGCGACGCTTTAAAAGCTTTTAGCGCTCATCAGTAATTAATGGCCCTAAAATTATTGCTCGCACTGCGACGTTTGCGGCGATATGTAACATGTGTGGCGTAATGGGCGCAATCGCCGTTTTCGCACATAGGTGGACCCCGACGCATGTTTGCGTGCGTATGCCGGGGGACTTTTAAAAATGTTTGTGTTATTTTACTTCATCAGCTTCTCACCGGCATCTGTAACCGGAGAGTGACACTGAATGCAGGAAGTGATGTAATATACATCACTTCCTGTATTCGGGGACCGGAGAGGAGATCAAAAAGGAGATTGCAGCTACTACAAGTGATTGGGCGTCTTTAGAGACACCCGATTGCTTAAATGTAAACATCGCTGGCTGTTTACATTGCTAACAGTTTCCCCGCTCGTGTGCGCGCTGAGCGGAGAGGAAATCAAATGTAATTCCATCATTCATGCTGAGGACTGAAAGTACAATTTTTGCACTATTTTAGATGGCACCATTGTACAGAGAGCAAGGTATTACAGCAGAGGTAGGCAACCTTGGCACTCCGGCTGTAATGCAACTACAAACTTCATCATGCCTATGCGAGTCATGCTAATCCTGGCTGTCCGAGAACAGCAAGGCTTCATGGGTCTTGTCATTCCAAAACAGCAGGAGTGCCGAGGTTGCGTACCCATGTATTACAGAATTTAATCCGCAGAGCACAGGGCTACCTGAAGACCATACCTTTCCCCAGGTCAAAGGTGAACTTGTCCTTTCTGTCCCTGCTGGAGTCAAACTTGGTCCCATCAGGCAGCCAGCCGGTGTAGTGGACGCTGACTTTATCCCCAATCATAGGATTCTCCGTCCCGCCGCCTTCCTCCTTGATTTGCTGCAGAAAGAAAACAAGGGCAGGAGATGTGAATTGGCGATAGTTTAGATAAAATGTAGACCTGTCCTCTATATGTAAAAATACAGCTATTAAAAGGACCAGATTTCACCTTTATTTTAGCTACTTTACAGACCCTGCAGATCAGCACTCAGGCTGGGTTCACACCATTTTCCGGACCAGATCTGGAACGCAGTGCATTGTGTTTTTGCCATAATTGTAATATATTTATAGCTTAAAATGGTCTTACATTTTTCTGGTCTGGAACGGACTGCGCTGGTGGGAACAGAGGCCAGAAATAGCATAAAGATACATTGGGATGCATTTTGGGTCCAAAAACAGTCTGGTCTGGAGGTGATCTGGATGTGGTGTGAATGGGCCCTCAAACCAGAAGACCGAAAGTGGGTCATTTGACACAAATAGGGTTTTGCAAAGTACTGTCAACCTAGCAAAGTGAACACGCTAAAGGTGCCTATACACCTGCCGATTATCGTACGATAATCGCGGGAGATACCGCGATCGTACGATAATCGGCAGGCGTATGGAAGGCGTGCAACCGTCTACTGTACAGTCGCACGTCTTTTGTCTTTTGAGTACGCTTGAAAACCCGCCGAGAATCGTACGATTTTCGGGCGGGTTTGTGGCGTGCTCGGAAGACAAATGCCAAACGGGCCGGTGTGCGCAACCGCACACTGCCCGCTCAGCATTGGAATCATCGGAAGCCCTCCCCTCGGCGGGGGGGGCTTGCGATGATCACAAGTACGATCTGCCTGTCCAAGATGGGCAGGTCATACAAAATTTTAATGACCTTACAACCATCGCACAACGAAAGTCATGCGATGGTTGTAAGCTGTATGGCCAGCTTTACAGGAGGGAAGGGGATACACTGTTGTCTTTGTTCAGCAGCCTTATATTAATTGGCTGCAGGAGGGGTCCATGTAGGCCAATCAGACTGATCTTCCCACTAATTACCATTTGCATGGGTCCTTTACAACAGACAAGTCATACAGAGTGCAGAACATCTCATTCATTGGTGACAACATTTTGGCAAATTCCATTAAATTAAACTCTCATTAAAGGCCAACTCAATGCAAAAATACTATTTCTGTTTAGCTCAGCACTTGTAGGCTCGAAGCTTCACCCAACAGGTTCCTTGCACCGCGTAGACTCCTGCTGAGAAATTTCCCTAGATAGAGTTTGTCTTTGATAAAGAAGTATTTGATTTACTTAAAAGAAAGAGTTTCTTACAGCTGTATGTGCTCATTGTTCAGACGTGGATACAAGTACCATAAAAAGATGGGATAGATAAGTACAACACGCTAATCCTGTGTACATAGCTCTTTCTCTGTCATCCACCGCCTTCTCTTTTCCTGGACAAGTTATATGAGCTCTGCAATTTCTATTATATCTCAGTTACCTAATTACTTTGGCTCCTCCTCCGAGTCTTACCTAACAATCAGCTCATAGCACTAAAGCTTGGGGGCGTGGCCTGTTTATGGGCGTAACCGCCAAATGGAAGAAGATCTAGACATGTCTGCCAAGTCCACAGAGCAGACACCAACACATCACCCTATTACTCAGATCAATACTAGATATAGATGTCCGACTGTACAATGTAAATAAAGCTTTAAATCAAACAACAGCAGCAAGTTTGCAGTGAAGGTCTCCAGCCGATAATAGTTATTACATAATGTATAAATTCTTGCTTAAATCCATAAACGGAAATATACAGTGGGGGGTAATTGATCAAAACTGGAGCAGACAACACCTGGAGCAATTGCCCAGGGCAACCAATCAGCTTCTATCTTTCATTTCCAAATCTTAATTGAACAAACTGGAGAGAAGCGGATTGGTTGCCATGGGCAACTGCTCCAGATTCTGTCTGCTCCAGTTTTGATAAATTCCCCTCACAGTATATTGCAGCTTTGGTGGCTGCATTTGTTTTTTTCCCCTGGTGATCCTTCCAGTAACACACTTCCTGTCCTAGGGTAATAACACTCCCTTACTGCACTCTATCGATAATGGAGCAGCGTTGTCACCCTAGGACAGGAGGTGTGCTGTAGACCTAACACACTTCCTATTAAGGCTAAGTTCACACCTAGGCGATTCAGATGCTGAGCTGTTGTCGTGCGTTTTCGATCACGCGACTGTTCATTGTAAACGATAGAAAATAACGTCACCAGCACTCCAAGGGTTAATGAAGCAAGAGTCAATTTATTGGCACATTGCCATTCAACTGCAACTGCATTTTCTATCGTATTTCTCCACGGCGCCATCCGTGGCCACTACAAGCACCCACCCGTTCACACGGGTCTTCCTTTGACGCCGGTAAGGAGTGCAGCAAGAACTTTTGATTTCTGTGTTCATTGTAAACCACGCAGTTGTCGCGCGATTTTCAATGCCTAGTCTAACAGCACGACAACTGGCCATAAATAGCTCCTTTTCACGCGACAGGCGATTTCGTCCGCGCGACAAATCGCAAAGATGTGAACAGCCTCCATTGACCTCAATGCCAATCTGTGTTTTGCGCGATAAATCGCCTAGGTGTGCACCGGCCTTCACACAGATTGAGAGAACGCTGAGGGCCGGTGCACACCTAGGCAAAACCTCACCGCGTGGCAATCGTGCACGATTCCCCGCGCGGTCAGGAGTCGCCTAGGTGTGCACCGATCGCGCTGTGGGTGCCATTATTTTCTAATGGCACCCCAGTCATGCTGGGCGGATCGTGTGAAATAGCCGCGCGTCATGTATCGCAAAAAAAGGTATATGTAACTTTTTTCTGCGATTGCCACGCGGATGTCACCCTATTCAAATCAATGGGGCCGCGCGGCAATCACTGCCTGCATTGAGCATGGCCGCGTGATTCTGGGACGCGCGATCCCAGATCGCGGAGGTCTGCATCGGGCCTGAAGTGTGTACAGTACAGCACTGGATTTCTGGTGGGATCAAATGTTATTTATTTGCACTTATACCAGTAGCCCCCAACAGACCCATTAGTTGGGGGCTACTGGTAACACCACAGACCCACGGGGTGGAGGCTACTGGTAACACCACAGAGCCACGGGGCGGAGGCTACTGGGAACACCACAGAGCCACGGGGCGGAGGCTACTGGGAACACCACAGAGCCACGGGGCGGAGGCTACTGGGAACACCACAGAGCCACGGGGCGGAGGCTACTGGGAACACCACAGAGCCACGGGGCGGAGGCTACTGGGAACACCACAGAGCCACGGGGCGGAGGCTACTGGGAACACCACAGAGCCACGGGGCGGAGGCTACTGGGAACACCACAGAGCCACGGGGCGGAGGCTACTGGGAACACCACAGAGCCACGGGGCGGAGGCTACTGGGAACACCACAGAGCCACGGGGCGGAGGCTACTGGGAACACCACAGAGCCACGGGGCGGAGGCTACTGGGAACACCACAGAGCCACGGGGCGGAGGCTACTGGGAACACCACAGAGCCACGGGGCGGAGGCTACTGGGAACACCACAGAGCCACGGGGCGGAGGCTACTGGGAACACCACAGAGCCACGGGGCGGAGGCTACTGGGAACACCACAGAGCCACGGGGCGGAGGCTACTGGGAACACCACAGAGCCACGGGGCGGAGGCTACTGGGAACACCACAGAGCCACGGGGCGGAGGCTACTGGGAACACCACAGAGCCACGGGGCGGAGGCTACTGGGAACACCACAGAGCCACGGGGCGGAGGCTACTGGGAACACCACAGAGCCACGGGGCGGAGGCTACTGGGAACACCACAGAGCCACGGGGCGGAGGCTACTGGGAACACCACAGAGCCACGGGGCGGAGGCTACTGGGAACACCACAGAGCCACGGGGCGGAGGCTACTGGGAACACCACAGAGCCACGGGGCGGAGGCTACTGGGAACACCACAGAGCCACGGGGCGGAGGCTACTGGGAACACCACAGAGCCACGGGGCGGAGGCTACTGGGAACACCACAGAGCCACGGGGCGGAGGCTACTGGGAACACCACAGAGCCACGGGGCGGAGGCTACTGGGAACACCACAGAGCCACGGGGCGGAGGCTACTGGGAACACCACAGAGCCACGGGGCGGAGGCTACTGGGAACACCACAGAGCCACGGGGCGGAGGCTACTGGGAACACCACAGAGCCACGGGGCGGAGGCTACTGGGAACACCACAGAGCCACGGGGCGGAGGCTACTGGGAACACCACAGAGCCACGGGGCGGAGGCTACTGGGAACACCACAGAGCCACGGGGCGGAGGCTACTGGGAACACCACAGAGCCACGGGGCGGAGGCTACTGGGAACACCACAGAGCCACGGGGCGGAGGCTACTGGGAACACCACAGAGCCACGGGGCGGAGGCTACTGGGAACACCACAGAGCCACGGGGCGGAGGCTACTGGGAACACCACAGAGCCACGGGGCGGAGGCTACTGGGAACACCACAGAGCCACGGGGCGGAGGCTACTGGGAACACCACAGAGCCACGGGGCGGAGGCTACTGGGAACACCACAGAGCCACGGGGCGGAGGCTACTGGGAACACCACAGAGCCACGGGGCGGAGGCTACTGGGAACACCACAGAGCCACGGGGCGGAGGCTACTGGGAACACCACAGAGCCACGGGGCGGAGGCTACTGGGAACACCACAGAGCCACGGGGCGGAGGCTACTGGGAACACCACAGAGCCACGGGGCGGAGGCTACTGGGAACACCACAGAGCCACGGGGCGGAGGCTACTGGGAACACCACAGAGCCACGGGGCGGAGGCTACTGGGAACACCACAGAGCCACGGGGCGGAGGCTACTGGGAACACCACAGAGCCACGGGGCGGAGGCTACTGGGAACACCACAGAGCCACGGGGCGGAGGCTACTGGGAACACCACAGAGCCACGGGGCGGAGGCTACTGGGAACACCACAGAGCCACGGGGCGGAGGCTACTGGGAACACCACAGAGCCACGGGGCGGAGGCTACTGGGAACACCACAGAGCCACGGGGCGGAGGCTACTGGGAACACCACAGAGCCACGGGGCGGAGGCTACTGGGAACACCACAGAGCCACGGGGCGGAGGCTACTGGGAACACCACAGAGCCACGGGGTGGAGGCTACTGGTAATACCACAGACCCACGGGATGGAGGCTACTGGTAACACCACAGACCCATTACCCCACCAGTACTTTATGGATTGAGGATCAGAGAAAATCCACAGAGGGACAAAGTACAAGGCTAATCACTAAGCTGCCAGTCTGTCACTGTAAACCTTGTTTCTTGTTCCTGAATTATTGTACCGGTGTAGAATTTCCTGGAAGGATCTAGGCCCTGGTTCGGTGGTCATGGTCCCTACAGCTACCGAACTACACATTCCAACATATACTGCAGGGGTAGGCAACCTCAGCACTCCAGCTGTTGTGGAACTACAAGTCCCATAAGACACTGTAAGACTCTGACAACCACAGGTAAGGCAAATGAGAGTTGTAGTTTCACCACAGTCCTTAGAAGTCCTGCGGTTGCCAACCCCCGATCTATTGCTACCACCATAAGCACGACCAATGAACCACCAGCCTATGTGGAGACGTGATCATTTTTATGGAGGCTTTGGGGCAAGTCTCCCTCTAAGTCACAGATATGGAAGAAATATGTCATGGAATAAAAATGATTAACACCCTAAACATTCATCTTTACCAGGAATGCCAAACATTTGACATACTGAATCCTATTCAGAAATATTTGGGCTAGACGGCAGGGCCAGGTTTGATGTCTGGGATATCATTTTGCATTTTTGGCTGATTTCCATGACTGCCTGGCATGGCGTCCTTAAGAAATGTGTCAAATGGCATTTGGAAAAATAATGTTGCACGAAAGGCTTCAAACCTGGCATAAAAGGCCACAAAATCTTAACAGGGGGGTACTGATCGTACAAATATTCCTTCCCTGAAAACAATGGACGCCGACGTGTATCAATGGCCACAAATTTCTGACAAAAAAACGAGCAGAAAGTTTTTTACAAATTGGGACATCTACAAAACTGATTATTATTATCATATGAAAGGTGGAAAAGCAAAAACAGAAAAAGTGTAAAATTGGGATTTTCATTTTTACCGAAGGGAAGCGTAAACTGGGAGCATAGACAAGGGACTGCATGCACTGGTTCCGGTACCAGGTCATAATTATAGGTCCATTGCACAATCGGTTTAATTTACACCCTCAGAAGGAAGCCAGATCTCAGGCCTGCTGGATTATTAGGCTTCCCTGGTTAGATACTCGGCATTGTCTAGTCTTTACCTATACTCCATACAATGTCCATACTCCAGCCACAAACTGTCCTGTGCAGCAGCCACAATTCACACATCAGGTGGGTGTGCAATAGAAAAGCAATTAGGCCCAATTATAAGAAGTGCACCCACTGAACCTTACTAAACTACCCCAGTCTTACAAAAATCCACCTCAATGCTCCAGCTCATTGCACACAACCACACACACTAAGGGGTCTCATTGCTTTACCTTCAGCACACCCTGATCTCTCTTTGGGCTGATGTCTATCCCCTCCATGGAGATGTCCTGGGGTGCCTGCTCAGTCTTCATCTCCTCCGCTGTCATTGTGATCTCCTACAGGTTAGCCCGAGAAGCTCTCCGAGTGGTTTTTAGGTGAAGCAGACTGTAGATCTGTAAATGCAGGGTGACTTCCAGCTGCTGATCCCAGGGTGAAGTACACTGACAGCTCTTGGGGTGCACTAGATCTAATAGGGTGCAACAGCTCTGTCAGCTGCAGATTCTCAGCTCTGGATCTCTAGGTGCAGCTGTCTCCCGGCTCTGAATTCCTGAAAGCTGTAGGATGTCAGCTCTGCTGGCCTGGCTGCAGCAAGGTCTGGATCTCTGGGTGCAACAGATTCTTAGCTCTGGATCTCTGGGTGCAGCTGTCTCCCAGCTCTGGATCTCCGTGTGCAGTGAACTCTGAATCTGAGGGTGCAGATGACTGTCAGCGCTGGATCTCAGGGTGCAGAGAGCTCTGGGTCTCAGGGTGCAGATGACTGTCAGCTCTGGATCTCAGGGTGCAGTGAGTTCTGGGTGCAGATGACTGTCAGCTCGGGATCTCAGGGTGCAGTGAGTTCTGGGTGCAGATGACTGTCAGCTCTGGATCTCAGGGTGCAGTGAGTTCTGGGTGCAGATGACTGTCAGCTCGGGATCTCAGGGTGCAGAGAGCTCTGGATCTCAGGGTGCAGGAGGATATCAGTTCAGCAGGTCTGGCTGCAGCAGGCTCTGCAGTTGCTTGCACAGTGTTGTGTGTGCTCAGACCTGGATGTGTTCTGTAGGCCGGAGAGGCAATGCCAGCTCTGGGCCCCTCCCCCCGGCACTGGGAGGAGAAAACTTCCAGGACATACTAGAAGTTTCTACTCAAAAGAGGAGTCACCCTGCAACTGAACATCAACAATATCAAGATGCTGAAAGGAGGAGGCGGAGCTTAGTACAGCCTTACTGCCACTGACAGCGATACAAAGAGCATGCCCAGCTTGTTATGTACAGAACCCTTCCTCCAATACACAGATCATACCCCCTGATTGTAATATACATTGCTCCACCCCCATATACCGAGTGCAATACACAGATCACACCCCCTAATTGTAATATACAGTGCTCCACCTCCATATACCGAGTGTATACACAGATCACACCCCCTAATTGTAATATACAGTAGAGTACAGTAACAACACCAGGCACTGTGGCTCTCTGCTGCCACCCAGTGGGCACTAGCTAGTATGAACGAGCCCTCACACTACTTATTTCTATGCTGTCCATTCTTTTTTTTCTCTTTTTAGGTTTTCTTTTTTCCTCTCTGACCTTTTATAATGATTTTGTTACGAGAAATGTCATACAAGTAATTATTAAGGGTCTGTAGGGAGCACAAGTGTAGAAGTATTGATTTGTAAAAGGGCTATAATAGCCGTATTCTCTAGCAGTCTCATGTAAAGTGTCTTCAGTCTATGACTGTCTCCTGAAGCATGTCCCCAGTCTACATCAACTCTCATAGCATGTCCCTGATCTCCAACAACTCCTATAGCATGTCCCCAGCCTCCAACAACTCCTATAGCATGTCCCCGGTCTCCAACAACTCCTATAGCATGTCCCGCTCTCCAACAACTCCTATAGCATTTCCCTGGTCACGAACAACCCCTATAGCATGTCCCTGGTCTCCAACAACTCCTATAGCATGTCTTCAGTCTCCATCAATCTCTATTGCATGTCACCAGCCTCCAACAACTCCTATAGCATGTCCCTGGTCTCCAACAACTCCTATAGCATGCCCCTGGTCTCCAACAACCCCTATAGCATGTCCCTGGTCTCCAACAACCCCTATAGCATGTCCCTGGTCTCCAACAACTCCTATAGCATGCCCCTGGTCTCCAACAACCCTATAGCATGTCCCTGGTCTCCAACAACCCCTATAGCATGTCTTCAGTCTCCATCAATCTCTATTGCATGTCACCAGCCTCCAACAACTCCTATAGCATGTCCCCGGTCTCCAACAACTCCTATAGCATGTCCCTGGTCTCCAGCAACTCTTATAGCATGCCCCTGGTCTCCAACAACCCCTATAGCATGTCCCTGGTCTCCAACAACTCCTATAGCATGTCCCCAGCCTCCAACAAACCCTATAGCATGTCCCCAGTCTCCATCAACCTATATTGCATGTCCCTGGTCACCAACAACTCCTATAGCATGTCCCCGGTCTCCAACAACTCCTATAGCATGTCCCCAGCCTCTAACAACTCCTATAGCATGTCCCCAGCCTCTAACAACTCCTATAGCATGTCCCCAGCCTCTAACAACTCCTATAGCATGTCCCCAGCCTCTAACAACTCCTATAGCATGTCCCCAGCCTCTAACAACTCCTATAGCATGTCCCCAGCCTCTAACAACTCCTATAGCATGTCCCCAGCCTCTAACAACTCCTATAGCATGTCCCCAGCCTCTAACAACTCCTATAGCATGTCCCCAGCCTCTAACAACTCCTATAGCATGTCCCCAGCCTCTAACAACTCCTATAGCATGTCCCCAGCCTCTAACAACTCCTATAGCATGTCCCCAGCCTCTAACAACTCCTATAGCATGTCCCCAGCCTCTAACAACTCCTATAGCATGTCCCCAGCCTCTAACAACTCCTATAGCATGTCCCCAGCCTCTAACAACTCCTATAGCATGTCCCCAGCCTCTAACAACTCCTATAGCATGTCCCCAGCCTCTAACAACTCCTATAGCATGTCCCCAGCCTCTAACAACTCCTATAGCATGTCCCCAGCCTCTAACAACTCCTATAGCATGTCCCCAGCCTCTAACAACTCCTATAGCATGTCCCCAGCCTCTAACAACTCCTATAGCATGTCCCCAGCCTCTAACAACTCCTATAGCATGTCCCCAGCCTCTAACAACTCCTATAGCATGTCCCCAGCCTCTAACAACTCCTATAGCATGTCCCCAGCCTCTAACAACTCCTATAGCATGTCCCCAGCCTCTAACAACTCCTATAGCATGTCCCCAGCCTCTAACAACTCCTATAGCATGTCCCCAGCCTCTAACAACTCCTATAGCATGTCCCCAGCCTCTAACAACTCCTATAGCATGTCCCCAGCCTCTAACAACTCCTATAGCATGTCCCCAGCCTCTAACAACTCCTATAGCATGTCCCCAGCCTCTAACAACTCCTATAGCATGTCCCCAGCCTCTAACAACTCCTATAGCATGTCCCCAGCCTCTAACAACTCCTATAGCATGTCCCCAGCCTCTAACAACTCCTATAGCATGTCCCCAGCCTCTAACAACTCCTATAGCATGTCCCCAGCCTCTAACAACTCCTATAGCATGTCCCCAGCCTCTAACAACTCCTATAGCATGTCCCCAGCCTCTAACAACTCCTATAGCATGTCCCCAGCCTCTAACAACTCCTATAGCATGTCCCCAGCCTCTAACAACTCCTATAGCATGTCCCCAGCCTCTAACAACTCCTATAGCATGTCCCCAGCCTCTAACAACTCCTATAGCATGTCCCCAGCCTCTAACAACTCCTATAGCATGTCCCCAGCCTCTAACAACTCCTATAGCATGTCCCCAGCCTCTAACAACTCCTATAGCATGTCCCCAGCCTCTAACAACTCCTATAGCATGTCCCCAGCCTCTAACAACTCCTATAGCATGTCCCCAGCCTCTAACAACTCCTATAGCATGTCCCCAGCCTCTAACAACTCCTATAGCATGTCCCCAGCCTCTAACAACTCCTATAGCATGTCCCCAGCCTCTAACAACTCCTATAGCATGTCCCCAGCCTCTAACAACTCCTATAGCATGTCCCCAGCCTCTAACAACTCCTATAGCATGTCCCCAGCCTCCAACAACTCCTATAGCATGTCTGCAGTCTCCAAAAACTCCTATAGTGTGTTTGCCATCTTTGACCATCTGTTGCATGTCTTTAGTCTCTGACAGCATTTTGAAGATATTTACTTCTCATGTCATATCATGTGCAGCTCTTAGGTGATGTCAGGTGCCACGCTTGAGATCCGCTATATCAAGTAAGTTGACCACTGTTGCATTACAGGATACAGCAGTGAGGTGGAGGCGAGAGGGAGGAACCAGTGAGATGGACACTCGGAGAAAAGTCGATTTCTGTTGGACATCATATTAGGATTTCTCAGCAGTGCTGTGAGTGTATCCTCTCTTCTTTTTCAGGTACGGAATCTTTAAAAGTACAGTTTCTCTTTAGAGGGGAACTGTGTGTTTTTTCCAAGTGCATCTGAAACTAAACTTGTTTCTTTTCATTTGGATAACGAAGGTAAGGCTCAGGCCTAGTTCGCAAATAAGTACATGCACAATTTTCTGGGCAGTTGCCCTGCGTTCTGATTGTGGTTGTAGTGGCGAACACGCGTCTATTAAAATTTGCACGTTTTTGTCCCCGCGTATGAACGTGCAAAAAACCCCTGCATGAACGCGTGCTCATTTGCACACGCTCAGGTATGAATGGAGTCTTAGCACTCTTGTCAGGTGTTAATTACTGTCTATGTTCCCACTTGTGAGATTCATCATCTCTATTTTTCTGGTGACCACTGTTAAGGTGCCCATACACTGCTCGATTCTCGTACGAGAATCGCGGGAAACCCCGCGATCGTACGAGAATCGAGCAGTGTGAACGAAGACGTGCGACCGTTTCTACTGTACGGTCGCACGTCTTTTGTCTAAGGAGCACTCTAGAAAACCAGCCGAAAATCGTACGATTTTCGGATGGTTTGAACGGTGCTCGGGAGACAAATGCCGAACGGGCCGGTGTGCACGCGCACACAGTGCCCCTTCAGCATTGCGGTCATCGGAAGCCCGCCCCTCAGGGGGGTGGGCTTGCGATGATCGAGAGTACGATCTGCCTGTCCAAGATGGGCAGATCGTACGTTTTTTAAATTACTTTACAACCATCGCAAGACTAAGTTCTTGCGATGGTTGTAAAGTGTATGTCCACCTTTACCGAGACTGAATATGAGATACAAATTCAAAATTTTACAGCTGTGCCCATAACAGGAAACATTTTCCAAAATGGAAAACTTTTTCTGATGTCTACTGTGTAAAGCTGGCTA